ATCGACGTTGCATCCAAAGGCCCAATGGATCATCCCCCTCGCTCGTGCAGCTGGTTCCCGGTGTCGGTCTATTCTTCGGCATGTGGTGGTGTCCCGAGTCTCCCCGCTGGCTCGCCAGAGGTGACGACTTTGAAGGCGCCGAGCGTATCCTCTGCAGACTACGCGGCCTCGACCGCGACCACGAATACGTCCGCCGCGAGATGGGCGAGATCCGCCAGCAGGTTGAGGAGCGATCGACCATGCGCATGAGCAAGAAGCAGCAGTTCAAGAAGCTTTTCCAGAAGGGCACACGAAACCGCATGGGCATCGGCATGGCGCTCATGTTCCTCCAGAGTTTCACCGGCGTCAACATCATCACCTACTACGCACCCCGTATCTTCGAGACGCTTGGCGTGTCCGGTACTTCGCTGCGCCTGTTCTCGACCGGCTTCTACGGCATTGCCAAGACGCTCGGCATGATCTGCTTTACCTTCTACGTCGTCGAAAAGGTCGGTCGTCGCAAGGGCCTCATCTGGGGTGCCGCGCTCGGCTGCATTCCCATGTGGTACATTGGCGGCTACGTTATGAGGGCCGATCCCGCTGGCGCTGCTGCTGCCGGCGTCGTCAACCGCGATGCCTGGGGCTACCTCGCCATGGTCTGCGTCTATGTCAACGGCTTCATCATTTGTGCCACGTGGCAAGGCATCACCTGGACTTATTGTTCCGAGATCTTCCCCCTCGACATCCGTATGCTCTGCGTCGCCATCACCACCGCCGACACCTGGCTCGGTTCCTTCATCATTGCGCGCTCGACGCCCTACATGATTTCTGACCTCGGCTATGGTGCCTATTTCTTCTTCAGCGCCATTCTTGTCTGCATGGGTATTTGGGCCTTCATTTTCGTTCCTGAGACCAAGGGTAAGCTGTTCCACCTCCTCGCGTTGTACCATTACTCGGTGCTAACTTTGACCTCCAGGAATTACTCTCGAGGAGATGGATGCTCTCTTCATGAAGCCCATGCACAAGGCCGTCTGGGCCCAGCTGCGCGGCAAGGAGCTCGTGCCCGAGCGAACCGACTCCGTCTCCGACGAGAAGAAGTACATCGAGTCAGAGCAGTTCGAGAGGAAGGAGTAACACAATCCTCCGTGAAAATGGTAGGAATAGGTAGCGCTGGCGGAGGCAGCGCGTGTTTGAGTTTTATTGCGAGATCTGTGAACGAGCCACGACAGAGCTAGGTAGTCGGATATACACAGCACTGCCAGTAACGGGCGGTGCGTAACGAAGAAATGAGGAAATACTTCAGAATGTACAACACGACAGCCACGTGACTTCACATCTACTGAACACACGCCCAGCTATTCTCATCCTTGACGTCGCCGGGACCCTGATACACGTTGCGCGCGGGCCAGCGGCAGTGTCGCCGTTTGTAATCGACCTCAGCACTCTGCGTACCGTTGATAGAGGCAGTTCCGACCACATACTCCGGCGCGATGCCCTTCTCCACCCATTGCACCATGGCCATCAGAACGTTCTCTTCAGGCTCGAGGCTGGCTGGCGGGGTGAATCCTCCGTTGCCGATGTTGCTGGCACCAGGTCCACCGAAGCAGTGTGCCATGCCCGAAACGCGGAAGAAGCGATAAAACTCATCCAACTCTGGAGGAGAAAGCCCCATGGTTTGCGAAACATGCTTGTAGTATCGAGGTGAGTTCTCGCTGGTGATGATACCATCAGTCAAGCCGTGGTAGTGAAGCAGCTTGCCGCCCTTCCTCTGGAACGCCGAAAGGTCGCCCTCCCACGTGTCAATGTTGAAGAGGTTGAGGTGCGAAGCGACAGTAAAGTCCTCCCTATTCAACGTCAGGGGATCCCAGCTCGAGTCGTTGAAGACAGCGTACTTCCACCAGTCTGACGCACCAAAAGGTTTGCCGTTGAACATGGCGAAGACAGCCTCGGTGGACTCGCCGCCGGGTTGCATGCCAGGATAGACAAAGCTCCCTTCAACGTCGCGTAGAGGAGAGTAGATGCTTCGCACCGTATTTGCTTGTGTTTGCGTCAGGCACATTGGGCTATTTTGACCCTTGGCGCAGAGTAGACCAGATGGACCATAGTTGCAAAGGTCTGGAGATTCCAGAATCCCATCGACAGCGCCGTCAAGGTGATCGCACTGCTTCAGAATGTCCTTCGCGATCAAGGGCCATACACTAAATGGCACAAAGGTATCGGCGGTCGGTGGACCGGTCAAAGGATAGAAGAATGAACTCCAGGACGTGAGATTGTTGAAAGAAAATGCCGGAGCGCCTGCAACGATGCCGTCAAAATCGTCAGGGAAGCTCTGGGCCTCCTTGAAACCCTGACGTCCACCCGTAGAGCAGCCTAGGTAGTAGCTTTTTGTGTGGGATCTGCCATAGAAGGTTCTGGAGACTTGCTTGCCGTGGACGACACCAGTATGTAGCGCACGGTAGGCATAGTCCTCGACAACATCAAGCTGAGTAAATGTCGATCCATCTCCGCCGTCGTGTCCGTTGTTAGTACCGACAGTTGCAAAACCTAGTGAGGCGGCGTACTGGATGTCTTCGTATTGAATGCACCCTCCCAGACCACCATTGCCGGTACTCAGAAATCTCCCAGACCAGTCCAGCGGCAGCCAAGTCTCCATTTTGATACTCGATTGAGCAGAGGTTGCCACCTCGGCCGTAACACGGCAGAGATCGACGGTAACATTCTGAGAGGTGCGACCACAGCTTGACACGGCATTTGGGAAGAGGAGTGTAGTTCCTGCAGGCACAAATTCCGCTGATGTGGTGTTGGAGTTTGGAATCTTGAGAAATGCTGGCAAGTTCCGACATCGTTCCTTAAATGCAGCGGCAGTATTGATAGGGGGGTTGCATGTCGCTTCTGCCAACCCAACCAACGGGAGGATTAGGTGACCAGATCGAACCATGCTGCCTAAGCTGTTTTAAAAGAATGAATTGATTTTCAGGGTTGATCTTAAGCCTGAGCAAAGAGATGGGTAGAGAGTTATATGCGAAATGGCATACACCAGGAGCAGGCAAATCACTTGGCATCCGAAAAGATACTGCCTTTATATCACTGGTAGTCCCATGTTAACCCGGCATATCATTTGATCAACCAGAAGTGTCAGGTACTTCATATGGATTGCCTTGTGTCTATGCTAAGTCTCGGGAGAAATTGGAAGGGGCGTTTTTGGAAGCGGGGATTTGGCTGACGACGCCCTGGTTCGGTAGTTGCAATTTGGCGGCAGCACTGCTCAATCAGGCTAGGGCGAGTTTCGTGTGTTGCTGGCGGTCAATACCCCACGGCAAGCTAAACTCAGTGGAGTTTCGTTGGAGTCCCCAATAATTACTCCGAAAACAAAGGAATGGGCATGGAGGAGAACCCCCTACTGGAGGCTTGTGTTCACATGATGTTCCCGTAACACTTGGTAGGGGGGTTGGCTACCCGAGCCTCCTCATGGACTGATACGACTTCTCTTAGATGACAACCAAACTGCGCTTGATTCACGATTCGATGGACCGAACAGCTGGGTAGACGAATCTTTCAGACATGGCTTTGGTTGAGCAAGAAGAGCGGTGCTACTGCAGCTGCAATCGAGGGTTCTCGCCCAGACACTGACACAAACCGGGGCTTTTTCTTCTCACGTCATGACATGCAGTGTGCCATGACTCGAGACGTGCGGAGATCAGTATGCATCTCACAGACCAGGGCTCAATAGCACATATGATAGCATGGGCCGTAGCCGTCACAAAATTGGACAATTACATTTGGTTTGGCTGCAAGCCACGATACTGCTTTCGTAGCCAGACTCGGCATGTGCAGCAACATATAACGTAGAAATCGGCAGTCGTGGTCCAACGGATTCAGCCGAAAGCGAATCCGACTCAACGAGGGGTAGAAAGTCCGGGGAAGCCAAGTCGTTCGGTAATTGCGGCAGAAATCCAGCCACTATTGGCACGATCTCAATAGGGCTGTCGCTGCGCATCGAAATCAACAGAGTGCATCCAGTCCTTCGATGAGCGGGGTTGGTAAGACACGACCTTTACGTGACATTGACCGATTTGTCAGGTAATTCGCTGCGATCCCTGGACATCACGATTGAACTGCTACATAAACGCACATAATAAGCCAGGATTTCACAGCAGACACACTCAATTACGAGCGCATATCATGCCAATCAAACCTTTAAAGTATCATCAGGCATTGCTCACTGGCTTATAGTAATGGCCTCAATTTATCGGAGCAGCTTTACGAGTTTTAGATGCCTCATAATGGACACAGTATGTAGTAAATTTCGATCATTTTCTTTTCTTTCTTTGTTGATAGATTTAGTGGTGGGATGAAATCGCGGCGGGCCGTGTGGCAGTGCCACGTCTCCAATGAACACACTTCAACCCAATGTCCTACCCTGCGTGCTATGATTGATTTTGGGCTTGCATACCTCTCATCCGGTTCGGAGTAGAGACCTCTCCATCAGAAACAAGGTTACACAATTTTGACGTCAAAATAGGGCAACCCGAGGCAGCGACAGTCGACTCCGGGTACATGACATCACTTCCGGCGCCTTACCCCACACTATGGTCGGCAATGCTTCAGCCGCTTTCGGCGTCGGACTCAGACTTCGCACACGACGTCCTGTTAGCATCCAAATTTCAACTCAATCTGTCTCTTCATCGATTGATACGATACCAGAAACCACGATCCACGTACAAGAATTATGTCTGTTACATCTCCATCTGCGAAGCGAACGAGACGGCCAAGGATGTCTCCTACAACCTCGTCTACTGGCCTGGCGTTCCCGGGCGGGGAGAGCATGTTCGCCTCGTCCTTGAAGAAGCTGGAGCCTCATACACAGACACAGCAGCAGCTGAGAATGGAGTCGACGAGGTGTTGAAGCATACCGCCGACACCAACACAGGAGACGCCTCGAATCCTCCTCCTTTCGCACCGCCAATCCTGATACACGGCGACCTTCTCATCGCACAGGTGCCCAACATTCTCCAGTATCTCGGAGTCCGTCACGGCCTAGCCCCCAAGCCCGGAGATGAGAATGACGGAGTTTATCACGTCAACCAGCTGGCTCTAACGGCTCTAGATGGCCTGAGCAACGAGGTCCACGACACACATCACCCCATCGCTATGGGCCTCACTTATGAGGACCAGAAGGAGGAATCGAAGAAAAGGGCAAAGGATTACGTTGAAACCAGACTTCCTAAGTTCCTTGGCTACTTTGAGCGCGTGCTGAAGGGTGAGGCCAGTGGAGAGGGACCGTGGCTATATGGCGGATCGCTCACGTACGCTGATCTGGTCTTATTCCAGGTGGGTTCAATTTCGTTAGACCGAAATCCGGCTGCTAATCGTATGTCAGTGCATTGACGGCGTCAAATTCGCCTTCCCCAAGGCATTGACCAAACTGCAGGACAGTAACAAATACAATGGAGTTTTCAAGCTCTACGATGCTGTCAAGGAACGCCCCAACATCAAGGAATACCTTTCAAGTGAGAGAAGGCAGAAGTACGCAGACGGCATCTACAGGCACTACCCAGAGCTCGACTCAGAGTAGCATGACCAAGGCTTCTGGCCCCAAATCAGTAGACTCAAAGTTCCATTGCACACGTGCACACGTAGCCTACCCATTTAATTCGCTAAATAATGGGACAACAACGTCCAGGCTACTCTAGCTATGCTTCCTTTCGATGTATTTCAGTTTCTGGGACTGGCGATAGACAAGTGCCTTACTAGACTTTAGCATGGCAACCTTGTAAAGGGATGGTCATGACAAAGTAGAAAGTCGCTCAATGTCTGTCCCAATAAATTGATGCAATCTCCCTAGCCACCATCGACGAGTTTCATCTTGCCAATTATACCCTCAAAACTTCCACCGCCAATAGTTTTCAGAGGCGCCTCGATGCCAATATATGTCCACACATTCTTGTCCCCCTCCCAGCCAAGTATTGTCAGAAACTCCATCGGCCCCTCACCTACATCGAGATACGTACTTTTGCCTTTCCCTGCGAGACTTGCCTCTGTCCACTCACCTATAGGGAACGTATAATTCAAGGCATACGCACTCTCTCCCGAGAATAGCATCACAGCGTTCGAGGTGCCATTGCCGAACCATAGTTCGCTATCTCTGCCTCTCAGAATAGGTCCCTTGGCGTCACTGGTTGGTTTGATTCTGAAGCTCAGAGTATAGTTTCGACCTTTAGAGTCGAGGGGCGTAGTCACTTCGCACCCAGGCTGTAGAATGATGCCTTCGCCTGAATTGGAGCATGTCGAATCCGCATGGTAGTTGTTTCCAGACGCATCTTTGTACTTGCCGTTGCAGCGACGACCTTTGACAAAGTCGTAATCCAGAATGGTAGGGCCGACTGAGGGAATACGCCGATCAAGGTTCTGTCCAGGAGCGTGGGGCTGGAGGACAGTATACAAGTCGGCATAGTCTTCGCGAGAGAGCCTGCTGCCCCACTGCTGATTTGCTACTGCTGCAATGCCGTCTTTCCATTGGTAGTAGGCCTCGAGGACTGTTGTCGCGTTCGGTCCGAAGTCGTTCCATTGGGCAGCAATGTGGCCTAGAATATTTGGATCGTCAAGAGGAGCATTGTTGGTCGCATTATTGTTATCGAAGATGTTCGGATAATACGGGCCACCCTCGGGATTGCCGCCGAAGATGAAATCAAGGTTGAGCTCTTGAGGGTACGGCTCCGACCACTTACCCACTATGTAGGCTCGGTCGCCGGAGTTGAGAACCTTGTAGCCATTTTGAAGGAAGTCCCAGCGTGGGTTGGCTTCCCAGGGTGCCCAGTGCTGGATAGAGACCTCTTTATCTGTGTTGCCACCCTGGCGGGGAGGGAAAGTTCCCCAAATCCTGGTTTGCTTGCCAGACTTCGCAACGATGAAGTCGTTGATCTCCTGGACGAAGTGGGTGTATTCGGAGGCCAGAAACTCGTCCGACAGTGTTGGGTGGCGATATTCGTCAGCTCCCATGTGAACAACCTTTGTGTGGAACCATGGTAGAAAGACCTCCCAGATCGCCTTGACGGTCGGTATTGTATCCGGGTGTGATATGTTGAGCAGACTCATGTCAGTCGGAAGAGCAATTTTAGGCTTCCATTGAGAGATGACCAAAGCATGCCCTGGCGCTTCAATCTCAGGAAGAATTGTCACTCCACGAGAAGCGCAGGTGTACTGCAGGCGATCAAACTCCTCCCGAGTGTAAGATTCATTCCGGCGGGTGTTGAGGCCTTCTACAGCTGGATTATCCGACCAAAGTCGGAAGGCGGCATAGAGCCCCTGCTGGTGCTCGTAGCTATACAATCGGACGTTGTTCCAAAGGTTGTCGCTAAGGTGCATGTGCCAGGTATTCTGCTTGTAAAAAGACATGTACGCGCACATTTCCTCCAAAAACTCAATCGGGTAATAGTGTCGGGCGACGTCAAGCTAGAAATAACATCAGCAAGGAGAGCATCATATTGGCCATCAGCACCCACCATCATCCCCCGCGTGGCCCAGCCAGGGTTATCTACGACCCGCCCAAGGGGAGCCGTCTCAGTGCCATTTGCCACAAGATGTTGAAGGAGTGTACGGGTGCCCCACCAAACACCGAGTGGGCTTGCACCGGTTATGGTAATGCCAGTAGAAAAGAATTCCAGCGAATAGCCCTCTGATGTAGGTCGCCCAGCTACGTCGAGAAAGTCGCTTGGGTCTCCTATGGTTAAAAAAATAGCTGATAAGTTAGTTGAACTGGCAATTTCAACTGACAGTCTCCAATCGAGAACCGAAGCTAAATCCTGCGAGAATGTGTCGGCGAACTCCGTGAGTGTTGGAGGGATAAGTGTTGCGCCGTTCTCATCGCGAGAATTTGCAAACCTGTTATCAACAATGATATTGGACAGGCCCAACACATCCAAAGTCCCATCGCCTGTCGAGCTGAAATCGACACTAGGAATAACGGAGAGCTGGGCACAGATTGCTTGGATGAAAGCTAAGATCACCAGGCTGATGATGTCCATGTTGATTTGCTATTTCCTGAAGCTGGCAACCAGGACCTTAACAAACGTCTAGCGGACTTTAGCGTTTTTATCATTACGAGATCTGAACCCCAGCCTTGGCATAGCGTCGCCATTCCTGATTCGGGCTTTGATTTCCAGCGGAAAGACGTGAAGAACAGAACTTGTGGCGACGTCAATGAGTCGTAGTCCAAGCTGCACCCAGCAATAAAACAGAGGTCACGTAGCAATGCGCTTGAAGATAAAGCTCCACGGGCGACAAGTGGTCTCCAACAACCGAGCAGCCGCATCGGCAACGTTGCAAGTGCACCTAACCTGTTGACAGACGGCGAAGCACGCAGATGCTACTGCGGATCCAGCTGGAGATGCGCCGTGGCCGTTGAGTACTCGATGCGCCTGGGTAGGAAACCCGATTCCAAGGCCAGTGCTGGGTTCATACTTGTGATAAGGTTAGGTAGGGTGAAGATCATCGCTGGTTATAGGTGGTGTCGCTGCATGAATCTCCATTCCGGTCACGACCTAACAGGGTATAATTCCGGGAAAGCATGGGATGCCCTTGCTGAGCCTTGGCTACCCCTCACGAGCAGGCGGAGGTCAGTATATGGCGGGATCAGCACAGCTGAGACTTCGTGGGCTGGGCGTCTGCAATCGCTCGTCGTGATGCAGACCGATCTCGAGGCGCAACCTTGTACTGCCTTCGAACTAGAGATGTGTCCTCTACACTAGGCCATGGAGAACGAATCAGGCGCCCATACGAGGGGAAAGGACGCTCAAACGTTTCTTCATCAATAGTGCATATTGATTATCTACAGGGGATGAGCAGGTACACGTCAATTCTGTGTCTTACTTGCTGTCTGGATATATCCAGACACAAGTGCTGCTGAGATGCTAAGTCCAATTGCTCCCACATCCGTGGCTTGGCCACTATATGAATGAGAACAGACGCGCACTTGCGATACAATCAGGAGACAGGCCATACCTTCATCCAAGGGTGGAGCGTTCAGCTATGTGCTGCCTGCCATCCTTGGATTTCGCTCAGCGTCAGAACATAATCGCTGCCGTAAACCTGTGTATCGCTGTTAGCAAAGCGTTCAGCAATTCTGCAGCTCTTTCGGCCAATTCTTACCTCACGAAGAACATCGAGGCTGTTCCACGCAGGATCGTTGATGAAGGGCGAGGTCCACACGGCGAACCATAGCCAGTGAGCCTCGTAAAGTTGTAGAAGATCGGGAAGCGGCGCGGCGCCAACCTCCGATGCCGCAATCAGCTTCTTATCGTTGCCTAGCTCGACGAGTTGATTGTACAAGCCGGACATGGGCTGTGACGTCAATTAGCCTGGTTTCTCTCCCGCTTGCAGTTCTTCAACTTACGCCGTTGCCCTGGGAGTAGACGTCTGCGCTGAGGATGTCGATCGTCGCGTCACCTGGGTACCAGTCCGCCTCAACAGAGTTCCACACCCAGATCAAGTTGTTGATACCGTGGTGGTTGACGAGGCGCTCATACAGAATGTTCCACAGCTTCTTGACGGGCTCGGGGCCCTGGGCACCCCACCAGAACCACTTGCCCTCGGCCTCGTGAAGTGGGCGCCAGAGTACGGGAACACCGGCATCCTCGACCCTCTTGAGTTGAACAGCGATGGCATCAATGTCACGGATCAGAAGCGTGTAGTTGGCGTTGGTTGTGTCGGCCAAAGCAGTAGCCACGTTGAAGTCAGTGGCAGCCGTGTAGAAACCGCTCCACCAGCGTTGCTCCGGGGTGTCGTACAAACCAACGGGCGCGTTCCAGTGCCAAAGCACCGAGACAATACCGCCGCGGTTGTGGAACTCGATGGCGTCCTCGACAGTGGTAGCGACCTGGCCCTGACGCTCGACACGGGAAGGAGAGTAGTCCATGAGGTCAACCGCGAGAAGAGCCGGGGTCTCGCCAGTCTGCTGCTGGAGCCAGTCGGCCCATTCGAGCTCCTGTTGACCTGAGAGGATCTTCTTGCCGTAGATGGAGCGGAGGTAGCTGTAGAGGGCCTTGGTCGGGGCGTCGGCATTGGGGTTCACGAGGTTGGCGTTGACGTTGTGCGGTCCGCGAGGGGCAGTGGGTGCAATGGTGATCGAGTCGATGAGGTACCTATCTATCTGCTTAGTGCCAGACACCATCAAGAGATCGGATGGGACTTACCATCCCCAGTGGGTCAGGATGTCAATAGTGTTGTCGCCAGCATTCAAAAGCACCTGTCCGCCAGCAGCATTCTGGAAGTCGGTGGTCTCGGGAAGGTAGACCTGCTCAGTGCCGCCGTTGTTGAGGACAATGTTGGTATACTTGTTGCCGTAGATACCGGCGTAGCGGATGGTAAGGTCGTAGAGGCCTTGCTTTGCGCTCGTAACAGTGAAGGTGAGCTTGTCGTTGGGTCCCTCGAAGCCAGTTACGTAGCCAGTGCCTGAGGCATCGTGTCAGCAGAAGAATCCTGTCTACTCTCTATTCCTAAGTGGAAGGCATCTGCTCACCAGTGAAACCAGCGAGTTCCGTCGCGACCCTTGTGCTGCCGACCAGTGTAGCATCTTCGGCCTCATACACTTTTGTCGCGTTCCCCGTGCCAGGCTCCTCGGGCTGCTGAGGGCATCGCTTGACGATTGCCGCCGCGGCGAGCGCGAATTGGAGGTAGAAAGCAATTGACCGCATGGCTCAGTGGTGAAATCGACTCGTCAAGTCTGGTTCGGCTAGAAGATCCGTCCCTGCACCCCGGGCTTGGGTGGCAGTAGGCCGCCCGTCTACCAGCCTGTCCTTATATGCCATGGAACGAGATGGCGCGATGGGGTGCGTGGTAATTAGCTCAGAGATCATCTGCAATTATTAGAAAACGGGCGGGACGTCGGACCCGGGCGCGGATTCGGCTGTCGCGGAGGGGGAGGCTCCGGCACACTGGGCAGCGGGTGCTGGGGTGATGCGGGGATGCGATGATGAAAACGCACGGAAGTCGCCCAAATAAGGTTGATTTCGAGCTCGAAAGAGGGTCTGTCAATTAAAAGTGATCCGCTTTGTGCCTGTCATGGCCACGGAGCCGTCTGCCGTCGGGGTTGTCGGATGCTGAGTCGCGAGGTCTCGGCATTGTGTAACACTGGTCGTGCACGTCAGGTCCCATCATACGGATCACTATTGAAGATCTTCTATAATCAAAACACTGCCACCCGTCCTCTCTCATGCGAGGAAGATTCCTCGTCATCATGCGACGCTCTACTTAGAGTCCAATGTGCCGGATGGCAATGATGGCCCCAGCCACCACCCCCTACATTCGATCATGCTGATTCTTTTTTTAAAAGGACCGAAATCACATTTTCACCCTTGCTCAAGCTAATTGCTATGGGGATACTGATTGCTTGATATGCCGGCCTCCATCACGAGCTATGCGCACCCGTTTGCACGTCGAGCGCCTTGTTCTGCTGGCCTTGTATTCGACTAATACGCGACTGTACAATCCCCTTCTCAACACGCCACGAATGAAAGCCTAGGTTGATGGATCAATCATATCGTTGTCCTCGTATGACTTTGTATATGACTCAAGTCGAAGTAAATGACGGAATGCAGTCTAATCCACTCGTCCGCGAATGCTTTCTATGCTCCAGCGTTGTCTCGCTGACCGTTGACACCCTCGTCACCTGTGTGTAAATCAACCTTGATTATTAGCCTATGAGAAGATCTAAGACAAATGACGCTTAGCTTTATGAGCAGACTCGGTGGTCGTTTGACAATGCCTTCATTGCGAGATCAGGACATTGTTTGGGCCTTCAAACGCTTCCGCGACTAGTTCACAAGCCTGCGCAGGCCGCGAGGCCCTTGATACTTGAAGCTCAGGCAACGTCATGCATCAGATTCATGTTCCAAGTCTGTAGAGGGGGAGAGACCCTACGGTCCTTATCCGGTATGAGTATATGCAGATCGTGTAGCAACATGAATCGTTCCTCTACTGTCTGTGTCATCGTCATATCTCATTACCGCCCCGGCCCCAAAAGAAAGGTTTCCTCCTACAATGAAGGTTGTTGCAAACCGCTCATACATAAGGGCACGATTCGTGATTCAATAGCACGTCATCCATCGGCATCAGGGTCAATTGCTTGCAAGAATGATGCAAACCAATCCCACCGACCCAACTCTATGACTTCGGATGCACTGGTCCAATCTGACTTAGGCCCCCGCAGGCTATCAAGGCCATGTTGTCAGCTTCAGCGGGCTTAGCCGTGCATCTTAGTCAGCCCGAGAGAGAATGAACTTCAGCTCCTGAAGCCATGATAGTGCGTCAAAGAGGGGCCATTGCAAACCAATCACAGCTAGGCCCTCATTGCATTGCTGTCTCCCTCCTGGTACACAGATACCGAGGTATAAAGTCGCAGTACCCCAGCTCCTGGCGACAGAGCTGAAACTGCGTTGTCAACCTACAGTCACTAACCAACGCTTGCTCTGCGTCTTCGTCCGCTTTCGAAGACCGCTTCTCGCTGAACAGTGCAGCGAACCACATGGCTTCCGCATCAGCCCCCGCGCAAGGATTCCCTGGCGTTCCCTTTGAAAGAGTCGTCGGGGAAACCTGGAAAGTCAATCCGATGCCGAATCCTATCGTTTCAAAGTGGACACTGGACCTCTCACAGAGCGACGTCACCAAACTCCTAAAGGGGTTTCAGCCGCTCTCCATGGAAGATCGCTGGATGAGCCGGGCAGAAGGACCAGATGCCGACGGCATCTTCCTGGTGTCACTTTATCGCAGCTGGACCGCGAATCAGCAATTTCAGATCAAGGGCCGAATCTTGTCTCGGCAGGATGCACAGTCAAAGGGTTCCGGCTACCGGGCTCAGATCGAGGAGTTGACTTGGGATAATGGCCAGGCGACCTCGACAGAGGCAGCGGCCAAGGACATGGCGATCTCCGTCATGAGGTGGATTCTCGAGTGTGACCTGGAGCACCTGTCTTAGAGGCGCGCTTCGCTGAGGTGTGTGTCTCGTATGAATTCGCACATGCTGGCTTGAATAGGTTGCGGTCTATTTACAATGTTCCGACGAGCAAATGCATCTCATGCCTGCTCTCCGCTGGGAGGCACCTGGACCTCACCGATGGGGCGCGGCTCCCCAAAGCTTGGCACGTTGTTCTCGTCAAAGGTGACAATGTGAGCCGATGTGAACCTATCCCCTCCGCAGGAACCACCAGCCTGCTTCGTGGCGTGGAAAGCGTTCCAAATCTCTGTGCCATCGGGAGACGTGAAAAATGAGTTGTGCGCCGTGCCGTAAAGACCGTTGGCCTGTGCGAAGACCGGGCCCGTCTTGTCCCAAGATGAGGCCAGCAGAGGGTCACCACCGTTCCAGTGGAGGAGACCCAGGGAGTAATTGGGCGTTCCGCAGTTGGACCCAGAGTAGCAAAGCCAGAGATCGTCCCCATGAACAAGGGGCTGGATAGGGGTCAGCTGATGGGTCGTGGTGGTGTCGGGGTAGACTGCGAGCACTTACGTGAGGGGCCTCGTTGACACCGACCAAATCGGCCTGCGGAATCGAAGCTGCTCCCGTGACGTTCCGCTCCCACGGCTGATCAGGAATGGAAATGACATGCCACGCGCCGACCGTCCACTCGTGCGTGTCGAGCGTCGTGATGGCCAGTGCTTGGTTAAACTCTTTGTCACGAATACTCAGCACATGGTAGCGCCCGAAACCCGGTACCTCGAGAAAGGTGCCGTCGATGCTGAAGGCAAAGTTATCGTCGCGACCGCCGCGCTGCCCTTCAGGGGGGATCAGATCGGCGAGATGCTCAAACTCGCAGTCGTAAGGCCCGGCACTGTCGCAGCCCCGCAGGACCCTCGTGCTGCAGCTGTCACAGCAGGGCTGAGCCGAGTCGCAGCTCGAGTAGAACATGTACCAGACATTGTCAATCTGATGAAGCTCTGGGGCCCACATGTGGCGTTGCGCGTGGTGTTTGTGTCTGTCCATACTGTTCGCTGCTCGCCGTCGATCAGCCGTTGAGCGTCTTTGATCGACAATGGTTATCTTATCGTAGGAGGTGAATGTTCTGTGATGCGGTCAGCAAGCCGGTTTGCCGAGACCATGGGAAAAGTGAGAATCTTCGCCACAGGTAGTACCACTCCATCCTGCCCGTTACCCAGAGAAGGATCGGGGGCCGGAGCACGGATAGGGTTTTCAAAAGGCCAACGAGCTGCTCGCAAGGAGAAATGCTCTGGAATAGGGTTAATTTCCAGCTGGCGAACATGATTTATGGGGCTTGCGATGGGCGCTTCTACAGAGTTCGGCAACGAATGCACTGCCAAATGTTTGGTCAACTGCGGACGGAAGGAAAACATGGCCTTTTTAAGCATAGGTTCTCATCCAAAACTATTGCCACGACTCCGAACACAGCCAGGAATGCATCTCTCCCGCACCAATCTACGATGAGCGCTTCACATGGCCGGATCTTCACGATCTAAGCCCATAGGAGCCGAGTCGAGCTTCGCGGGGTAGGTGCAGGCCTTTGACGACAAAGCCAACCTCTCGACTCGAAGCAGACGCTGCATTTCGGCATTCGACCCAAAATGCGGGGGACAGTCGGAGTATTCTGGGGTAAAGGACGGCCTTGATCATCGCGCTACCTTGTAGGTCTCCATTCAGCTGGATGCGCGCCAATGGCATCAATGGCGATCCCTGCTGTCCTGCTGAATCGGTCTTGGCATCGTGCACGAGTTGTAGGTCTAATGGACACGTCGTTGATGACGTGAATGAGTGCAAAAGCGGTGCAAAATCTAGCTGTGCAAACTCTAGCCTTTGACTGCCCTGATACGGGTCTCGTCAAACAGAAGATGTTTATCGGTGCTGGGACCTGTATCGTTTCGAGAACACACATTCCCAGGCTCCAAGAATAGGGGCAACGTGATTACCTAAGGCACCTTAAGACGACGAGCAATGCGATGCCCAATAACAGGCTCAGACAGGGATTCAAAGTCGGAGTCTGAAACGAGGCATCGCCCAAGCTCCTTTTCCTAGGCCTCCGCATTGTCATGGCACGAGGCCACCGACTGATAAAGAGCGCATTGTCGGAAAGGAAGCGCCGCCGGTCCAGTTGGGGTGTCGAACTCTCAGATGCCAGTGCGCTACCCCTTTTGTCTCTTATTTGTCCCCGTGAAAGGATAGTTGGTGTATGGCCCTGGTTTGGCCTTGTGCTCGACCCACGTGCCCGGTAAACAAATGCCAACGGCGCATTCGGTTCTTTCGACTGCGGGTAAAGGGACAGTCTGCCATGCGAGCTGTAGAGTGTGCCATGCAACTCTGAGTCCACGATGCTAGCTCTCCTGGGGCTCGTACAGCCACAACCCCTTGGGTTCATCCGACTGACCCATCCCCATGCAAATCGAAGAGCACTGCGATTGTCTGGCATGTCATCCTGTCTTCGTCCGACAAGGAAATTCATGCGCGGACCAGGTTGGCATCGCTACCGAATCCACCAAAGCAATGTGACGCGAGGGAGCAATCTAGCTGACAGAAGCCCCGGCCTGGGCCTCCGTTAGCCGTCTATCATTGATGAAACCACTCTCGCTACCTTGGCATCTGCTGACTTACACTGTTGGGTAACGCTCTACAAGATAGCCTCATGAAAGGTCCTATCCAATCATCAGACGAACCTGTGCGCCCGGCGATGTGACTGACGGCTCCGAGACAGAAATTCCAAAGCGCCGGCTCGCCACGTCGCACGCACGCCGCCCAGCGCAACAAACTCCCGCAAGCCATGGCATGTATCGCCATCGCAATTGGCCACCCCCTGACGTTTCAACCACCTTGTTCATCACCCCACCACGACCACAAGCCCACCCCCCTTGTCCTGCCGCGTGCGTGCTCTTCGTCTTGCCTCGATCAGGCCCAGATCCGCTGGCGCTCTCCCGCTGTCCCTTGGCTCAGCACCTCCGAAGCCTGCCATTCGTCGATCCCCGTTTCACGCTCACCTCCCCGAGGGGCTTGTCTGCCGTGTCGCGGGGGTCCTCCGAGATGACTTTGCAATGCATCGGCCTGGGCTGGACTTGTTGGGCCAGGAAGAAAGGGAAGGGGGTTGAGAAATGCCACCTTGGGCGTTCCTGTTCGGGAGAGTGAAGCGTTTCCGCTGGCTTGGTCTGATCTGGCGTTTCGGCGGCATTGTCGTCGGTTGATTCTGTTTACACATATATATGGTGACCTCCATCTAGATGTCGGGGCGAATCCCCTACTTCGACCCTCGGATCTTTCATCCCATCCTCGTGTTCCGCTGGGCATCCTCACCGTCTCGAGCTCGCTGGACGTGCCATTCCTTTCACGTCGCGCCTGACATTCTTTTAAGCGCACCAAGTTGTGTATCCCCTTCATTTTCTTTTCTATTCCCTCACTCATTGCGTTTTGCCAGCCCAGATACCCTCTTGCGGCACTTGACCCTTCACCAAACCAACATTGCTCACTTTCAGCGTTCAACGAGCACCCGCCACTATGCGCTTCGTCCTCCTGCCAACGGTCCTGGCAGCCCTGCCCCTGGCGGCAGCCTGGACGGCGCCGACGTATGGCGGCTTCGAGCAGCTCTGGTCAGAAGAGTTCACAGGCGCGGCCGGCGACCGCGTCGACGGCAAGACGTGGAACTACATGACGGACATCCACGTCAACAACGAGCTGCAAAAGTACACCGAAGACTCACGCAACGTGCAAATCTCAGGCGGCGGCACCGTACAGCTCGTGCCGTGGCGCGACGCGCGCGGGCAGTGGACGAGCGGGCGCATCGAGAGCAAGTACGTCTTCACGCCGCAGGCGGGGCGCGTGACGTTCGCCGAGGCGACGCTGCGGTTCGGGGCCAACGACGTGGCGACGCGGCCAGGGGCTGTGGCCGGCTTTCTGGATGCTGGGGAACGCAATGCGGCAGGGCGTCGATTGTTTTTTTTTTTTTCAAATTAGACAACCCCGGGCGCGCCAGGGGGGGGGGTTGAGGTGGCGGGAAACGTCCAACTGGCGACCGCGGGGGGGGGGGGCCTTTTCCACCCCCCCGCAGGGGAATCGGGTCCCCAACGTTTTTGCGGGAGGGGAATGGGAATGCTTGGAAACCCCAAATTTCCCCGCCGGGGGGCCGGGATTTGGGGTCCCAAAAACATTCACTTG